GCAAACGACGACGTATTGGTTTGGGATGATGAAAGCGAAACGTCAGGTGGCACAGACCCCTATGGGATCAAGTATTGGGAGGCGGAGGCTGCTGATCTCATCTTTTTATTTCAACATTTTTTTTAATTAAATTAAGAGGAAAAATAAAAATTTATTATTTATTATTTGCTATTAGGGAATTATTATCCAAATTTAATAAATAATATAAAAAAATTTAAATTAAATAAGAATCAAAATTTTTAAAAGAAAAATAGTTACCATAAAATTGTCTTAAAAAGTATTTAATAATAAAAGAAATCCGTAAGTAAAGTAAAAATATTTAATTTTAATGAATTTTTTAAATTCCAATTTATTAATTTTTGAATTATTAAAAAAAATTTCAGTAAAAAATAACTTGAAAATATTTATTAATTTAAAAATAGAAAAAATATATGGATGCGGTCGGTCCGGTTACATACATCACAAGCTAAACCCAACTGGTATAAGAGAAGTAGACGCCATTGATGCTCCTTGCTGCCTTCCCAGATAACATCCTTCCATTACTAGTTTTCATCGCCTTGAATTTCCTCGAGTCATTCTCAATTACAGAATATCCGTTTCAGGAAATGGGTGGGTTCGCTACAGCCGAAGCATGCGATTCAAACGCAGGACTAATAGCAAGCGGCCACCTGCGCGCTCTTCAACCAGAGTTCAAAATATACGGGCAGCGGCGAGCATTCTGGGGGCCGACAGTGACAGTGAAGGTGTTCGAAGACAACGTATTGGTGAGGGAGATTCTGGAGACGAGAGGGGAAGGACGAGTTCTGGTTATAGACGGTGGGGGAAGCAAGAGATGCGCGCTGGTGGGAGGGAATTTAGGACAGTCGGCGCAGAACATGGGGTGGTCGGGGATTGTGGTGAATGGGTGTATAAGAGATGTGGATGAGATTAATGGGTGTGATATTGGGGTGAGAGCTTTGGGGTCAAACCCTATAAAGTCTAATAAGAAAGGGAATGGTGAGAAGCATGTTAATGTTTATGTTGGAGGAAGCTTGATTCGTGATGGAGAATGGCTTTATGCTGATAGTGATGGTATTTTGGTTTCTGCAACTGAGCTCTCTGTTTAGTGCTCCTGGAATTTTGAACAGGCGTTCTCCGGCCGGCCACACTCACTGATAAAAATCATCGTCGTCGTCATCATTATCATTTTAATATTTATGTAATTGGCGAATTCCAAGAATGAAAGCAGTTCGTGCCATGCTCGACTGACTATCTCTCAAGGCTTATACGTCTCAGAAAAATTCTTCTTTTCACAATTTGTATTTTGGATAAAATTGCAGTAACACATTCGTCTGACTCAAACTCATAAAGCTTAATGGAATTTGTTTTCAAGGCCGTGGGGAGTAACTTTGGAGAGTTTATTCAAAGATCAACATTTAATTTAATTTAGACTGGTTAAAAAATTTAATAATAATTGACATAATACAATTTATTTATAACTTTAAAAGAAAATAAATAAATATATATGAGACAAAGTGGATCAAGCTTAAAAGTATATTATTTTAATTCTGTAAGAATTTAAATGTTTAATTTTTTCTCGTAATTTATCATTTCTAATTAAAAGAAAGGACAAAATACAAAATTGATTTATGCATTATTTCTTTTTATAACTCTAGTTATTATATTTTTACAAAATTTTTAATTTCATCAATAATTATTAAAATATACTAAAAATGTATTTAATTTTGATTGAGTCAATATCTATACTTGATACTATATTATTGGACACATGACATTAGATGTAGAAAATTTTTTATTTAATAAAAATATGTAAAATAACACTTTAATTATTTCAATAATGGTGACATTTTAAGGCGAGTTAGACATTATCTATAAGTTTAAGTATTTTTTTTTTGTGTATTTTGTATTTTTTATTTAAAAATATTAAAAAAATAATTATTTTATACATAAAATATTATATAATTAAACGCATAACATCTGACATAAATATTAATTTCATTATAATGTAATATATTACCAACCTAAATCCTCATGACATTCAATATCGATTATGGCCAAAACTAATTAAATTTTTTTTTAAAAAATATATAAACTAAAAAATATTACAAACACCAAGTCCAATACTTCAAATTAGTATAAAAATTAATTAGAATGTAACACGTGACATCTAACTTGAATATTTATTTAGCCAAAATATAATTCATGCCAAGCTTAAAACACAATTCTATTAATTAGGCGTTGATATACATTAGCAAACAAAGACGGAAAGAATTTTTTTTTTAAAAAAATAAATAAATTAAAATTACAAAAAATAATATAAAAATAAACTTAAATATCTTAGAATAATCCAAACCAATTTACTGTTTTTATCTTTAAATAAATATCAATTTCCAATGAATTTTACAAAATTTTCAAAAAATATTAAAATTTTACAAGAACAAAGATTTTACATAAATTTGAGTAAAATTCAAAAATAAAGTTTTTATTGTTAAAATCTTAAAAAAATTATTGATTTGTTACAAACAAATACTAACCGCCTCAACAATATGATGCTTCATATCGTAAGCTGGAATAAAAGAGAAGGTTTTACGTTATCGATATGTCAAAATCTAAAATTAGAGAGGAGAAAGTGGCAGGTTAGCAACACTAGGTCGTTTTTACACCTAGCACTCACTCTCTCGCAAACTGAGAATCATACAGCAGCATTAGCCATCTTTACAACCCCAACAAAGGTATTCACTAAAAAAGCAACAGACAATCTCAAAAGACTAAACATGGTACATGTTCAAAACAACAGATTGCACTGCGAATCATTCATCACTCTATTAAACAGCTTTTTTTCTTTTGGAACTACTTGAGATCCTCGAGACATAATTTTATGAACTTCTATGAACTATTTTGCGCTAAAAAGAGAGCAAGCAGAACAGCACCCAAAAACAGGCTTGCAAGGCAGCAGGTTTTCAGATAAAAGCGGTCCTGCCACCCCTTCGACTATGCCTGTCATATGCAGTGTTGAATTTGTCCACCAGCTCATTCATTGTACTGCATAGAAAACCAAGTGCAAAACAACATGAAATCCATTAGCTATTCATATAGCATTTTCTCCAATACAAATCACACAAGCAAAAAATATTAACATTGCTTTCCATATTCCCACTACTGGAATGCATAGAGTGTCATCTTGAGGGAAAATTTCCCTGTGAATTGTCATGCATCAAGTAATTATTCTTTTTATTTCTGTTATCATTAGATTAATTATTAAAAATCTCAACATGTGTGGCTAACGAATAAGCTTCAAACTTTTGTTGTAAGTTCTTGAAGAGAGAAATCACTTGTTTATAGGATTGTCAAGAAGATAGTTCTGGTTTTGCCCATTACTTCCAAATGTGCATTTACCAGAAAGTAATTCACAAAAGTCCCAAAACTACATTTCTCTATTTCCATTGCTACCAAATATACAAATACCAAAAAGTCATTCACAAAGGTCCCAAGACTACACGTCACTATTGTCATCGAACTCAATTGCTTGGCACTTCGAACATCATCTTCAAATATCATTTGTTTAGAACATTTTTAACCACTAATATTTCCTAATTCTCATAATCTTCTGGTTATGCGTCTTTCTAAACATTTTTAGCATTAAATTTTAGATTCTTCTTTCAAATAGTTTGTTACTTTATTATTAATATGATGCAACTTATATTATCAAAATGTTAATCAATAATTACAGAAGTTACAAATATAATATTTTGAGCCTAGTTATAAACTACCAAACTTCTTTTTGGCCCTAACTATAATTAGGTTCATTAATTTAAAAAAATTATAACCTAGTCCCATGTTTTCAACAAACATGACAACTCAGTTCAATGATCTATCAAAATTAACATTAGAAACATAAACCAGCAATTTTTTTCCTCAAGATGACACACAAAAAACTCATCTAGAGAATAGAACACACGAGATCTTGAAAAGAAATTGAATAATCTCAAACCAAAATTGAAGATAAAGATCAGACAACTACAATAAGAGAAACTTGACTGACTAAATTCTTTGCTTTCTTTAAGATTTCTTTGTCTTATTTTTTAAATAAGCTTTAATATATCCTCTTGAAAAGAAAAAATTAGTTCGTGCTTTAATGGTTATCTTAATATTTGCAGTTAGTTCATTCAATTGAATATATATTATCTACTAGAGTGTGTAGGCAAGTAACCTTTATAGAAAAACTAATTACAAATACGACTAGCATGGAAAATATCAATCAGAAGTTTCTAAAATCTTGACACAGCTCAAAATCTACCCAAATTAAAGCTACCAAATAATAATAGTAATAATAAAATGTACCCATACTCAGTTGAACAAAAAAGTTCATAGGTACAATTTTTTGAATTTCTGTTCGGAGAGCATACGTATGGACATGGGTGGCGAACTGCTGTAACGAGTTCTCCTCCTCTCTGCTTGTGTCTCTCAGCTAGCAGAGAGGAGGCCATGGTCCTTTCAGTGACCAGAAAGTTTCTGGTCACTGAAAGTAAATCTTTTCATGTGGTTTTCACAGGCAAGAGAGGAGAAGGAATCAGGGTTAGCAAAAACGGAAGGGGATTTAGGTTGATGATCACATTCTGGGTGAGGAAATTTAATGGCTGCTGAGTGCCTTACAAGAGTTCTACTGGATGATAGGAGGAAACTTTTGGGGGCGCAATAAAGTTGATAGAGACCACCAACTTTGGGTGGCCATGGGAATGAAGGGGTAAATTTCTGATGATTACTAAGAAGAGTGGGGAAGAAAGTAGGAGAATTTTCATTTTGGAAGGACTCCAAGTGTGTGGACGGTGTAGGATGATGATGGTGCCCTATGAGATTGTGGTAGGAAAGTTAAGCCGCCAGAGCAACAGACGCGAGAACAA